CGCGACGTAATGGGCCAAAATTCATGGGTAGATTCCCCAAGTAAAAATATTGCGATTTAGCCGAACTTACCTTAGTCCAAAAGTTGATACTTAAAGAGATACAGGGTGTTAAATGTAAAATATTATTTCAGTTTTTTTTAATTTAATCCTTAACAAATGCAAATATCCTCACAAATTTTGGGGATTGGAGTAGAGGAATTGAAATCTGTTGACATTTTGGTTAAAGTTCATAGAGGGCGCTAGCTGCAGTAGATTGAATGTGTTAAAAACGACATAACTTTTTTGTACTTTAAGGTATCTCATCTTTGGTAACAAATTCTCATTTTTCAACTTTTTTTAAACAAAAAAGGTATACTTTATTAAAGTAGCTATCTCGTACCGTTTTCGAGATATTTGGCTTTGAAACTTCCAATGCTATTGCATTAAATTACAATAATTAAGTACCTACAGGTATTATTAAATTAGTGGTAAAGTTTTTGACAAAAAGCCTTTCATACTATATTTTATTTCTCATAATTATGCAAAGTAGGTATTAATTTAATTATGTGGTCAGCATAAATTGTAGATATTCGTATATGTATGTATAATAATTATGGAAAGTAGAATATATTGGCATTTGAAATATGTGACTTTTTTACAAGGAACATTTTATGATGGGACGAAAAATTGCCACAATCTGTTCTAAAAAAGTTTTGATCGAGCAGACACGTATCTAAGCCCTTCTTTTCACTTTTATTTCAGGAACAAATATAAATCTGAAATCACCCCTGCCAGACCAACAATCTTTAAACGAGTGGGAACGGGAGCAATCGATATTCCGAAATCAAGCCGTCTTGCCAAATATTCCCTCTAGTTTGTACAACTCTCCTGACGATTCCTACGACGACAAAACCATTGCAGAGTATGAAAAAGGTTTCAGATACGGCACAAATAAGGACAAGATTGACGAGGCCCTGGAAAATGCTGTTTTGAAGTCTGAGCTATACGGAGAGCCCGGAGCTATTAATCAGTATAGGTGAGTTCGTTTAATTCTCTTCTAACGGCATTCGCTTCTGATTAGTTTAAAATTTACATTTTGTCTCGTAGGAATCTAATTAGTTTTCTTTTCTTTAATCAATTTAATTAACTTTCGAGTAATATAGAAACAGCTTTTTAATTATGTGGTAGATTTTTTTTAATTGAAACGAAGTAATATATTTACCATAAGCGTAAATACTCGTATATTTAAATTGAACTATTGTTACTACCTCCCTGGTCGCACTGGGGGTATAACTCAAAGACGGCATTAAAAAAATAACAATATATTGATTGTTGGAAAATTAAATGCAAATAACAAATAAAATAAAGTTACATGACCGACTACTTTGAACTCTACAATCGCGCAACAATTCTGCCAACTAAGACTTTTACGTATATTGTGTTCTAGAAAAAGTATGAAGGCCAGTCATTATAGGTTTCTTTCGGGAAAAAAATGCTATTAGAAGTTTCTCAGCGGAATACTGTTCAGAAACGTGTTATAAACAAAATTTCAAAAAATCAACTCGAGACTAGTTGGGAAACTTTGTTAAAACAATGGTCAAAGTTATGGAAAAGTGGTTTTTTGACTCACGTAAAAAAGCTATTATTCATAGCGAAAAAAAGTTTATACAAAAAAGGTAGGTATTAAATAAGCCTATAAAATGAAAAAAGTCCGATTAAATTCCGATAATTTGTTTATGCACAAGAGCTCAAAAATGGTCGAAAATTGCCGTTTTTTTCAATTGCTAATAATTAATGCAATTTTCATCGCAGACACTTGTAATTCAGGATTTTTGAGGCTTTTTACACCCTTAATAAGTGGTAAAAATTTCAGCTCGAAAGCTTCATTGGTTTGGCGTTGGCGGAATTTGTTATCTAAGAAGATGCTATTTTCAATTCATTTTTCCCAAGCTCACAGGCGTTGTAGGGTTTTGATCATTAGTTGTTTTTGTACCTAAATAGTTGTATTGACATAGGCATTTACTGAGAATTTAGTTTTTCAAATTTAATTTGTTTAAAATTGACTGAAAAAATGTTAATATTTATTAAATTGTTAAGATAGGTAATTATTATAAAATAAAATAGTAACCTCTTTACTTTAGTTTTCTTCGAATTTAAAAAAAAAATCGTTGTTGTAAGTTGATTAGAAGCTGAGATTTTTTTTTTTTATTTAATCGCAGTGACCTTAATTATTAATATTAAGAGCCGAAATTTGGAGAGAGTATACATTAAGAGCTATATTTTCATGTCCTACATTAACATTAAGGTGAATTCAACTATTTAATTGCGAAAAAGAAGATAGCGGCGATGCGTTCTATTACTTGGTCTAGCGAACGAGTGGGGAGAGCGAGGCGGAGCATGCGCGCTTAACAATTTAATAAATATTAACATTTTTTCAGTCATTTTTAAACAAATTAAATTTGAAAAATTAAATTCTCAGTAAATGCATATGTCAATACAACTATTTAGGTACAAAAACAACTAATTATCGAAACACTACAACGCCTGTGAGCTTGGGAAAAATGAATTGAAAATAGCATCTTGTTAGATAACAACGTGAAACCAATTAAGCTTTCGGGCTAAAATTTTTACCACTTATTAAGGGTGTAAAAAGCCTCGAAAATCCTGAATTACAAGTCTCTGCGATGAAAATTGCATTAACTATCAGCAATTGAAAAAACGGCCATTTTCGATCATTTTTGAGCTCTTGTGCATAAACATATTATCGGGATTTAATCGGACTTGTCTCATTTTATAGACTTATTTAATACCTACCTTGTTTGGATAAACTTTTTTTCGCTATGAATACTAGCTTTTTACGCCAGTCAAAAGAGCACTTTTCTATAACTTTGACCGTTGTTTAAACAAAGTTTCCCAACTAGCCTGGACTTGATTTTTTAACATTTTGTTTATAACAGGTTTCCGAACAATATTCCGCAGAGAAACTTCTAATAGTATTTAGGCTGTTTCATGTCTATAATGACTGGGCTAATGTGTAACTCGTTATGAAATATAAAATAATTTTGAATAAAGACTGGATTGATGTTCTTTTCATATTTAACTTTAAAAATTCCCAATTATTAATTACTAATATTTCCATATTTGACACTATTATTGAACAAGTTGGTTTATTTTGTACTTTGTTTTAATATAACACTGAATATTGTTAACATATATCATCAAACTGATATTTCAAAAACTTTATTGAAATAAAAATAAATTCACATTCAAAAGTTTATGTTTTTTATTAAATCTTTTTCCTAAGAAATTTATTTTTTGATCTAATTTTGATATAAACGAAATGAAGAGCAATCGTTTATTAGCAAGAAATAGGCCTTTACAGGAAACAGTGCAATTACAATTTTAAATTTCGTTTATTTAACAATTTTACTGCAAACAAAATTGATAGTAAAAATACAATTATATTTCTAAGAACAAACCATCAATCTAACACAATCTAAACAATGTAACCAACCTAAAAGACCTAAAAATCTAAAAAATAACTATTAGTGACCTATCCTTAAAGATATGTTTTTCAATGTTTATCAGTGGTTGAAAATAACTTTTAAACAATTTTTATTATGCATTTACAAATTTAAATGCCTTTTTGTTGAAAACGGTTGGTTTTAGATATATTAGTTTAGTTTAGTGTTTAGTTTAGTGTTTGTTGACCATGTTAAATTGCATACAATCTGTATTGCAAGTCATATACAAAAACAAAAAATGTATAGATATACACACAAAAAAAATAAATTAATAAAAAACATATCACAATAAATATTACAAGCAATAGAACACAAAACGAGAGAAAAGAGATTATATAAAAATCTTAGTCTAAGAAGGAGCGATAAGACCATTACCATAATGTATGCATATCAGAAAATTTTAAAATCTCATTAACTGAGTAGAAATAATGCCTAACAAGAAATGATTTTTATTTTCTGTTTAAAATCACGAGTACCTATTCAAGGACTTTAAACTAGTTGGCACAATATTATATAAATGTATATCTAAGGAATTTTTCTTTGATTTAGTCAGTCTATAACCTGGAATCATAAAATTGTCTTCAGATCTCGTCCCATAACTACGACATTGAGAGTGTGTAACATATGTGTGAGTGGCATATATGTAAAGACATGGTAACGGTAGAATTTTAAGTTTTTTAAAAAACGTATTATATTAGCAAGGTATACCTTTTTTAAGCAAAAAGTTGGGGGAAAAGATTTTTCCAGCCTAAAGTAAAATACACGGTGGCATAAAAAAGTTTTGGTATATAAATGCGTTGTAATAGTCGCTTGTGGCGCCCTGTAGAAGATGCAACGAAATAGTCGATAAATTCGAATTTTCCAAAAAACCTCCGTATACGAAATTTCACAAAATTAACTCGAAATAGTCGAAAGATATTAAAGGAAATGTTATTTATTTTTTCAACTTCAACACCCTAAATCTCACCAAGGAAGCACTTTAGGCAAAAATTTTATAGAGAGTGCCCCTACTAATTTTAAGTGTCCTATCTAGTATAGGATTATATAGGGTGTTTGGTAAGTCGATGCATTCCTTGCAGGAGGTTATAGTATAAGTGATATATTTCCTTAATATACAATATTCCTATAACATTTAGTTTCCGATTTACAGGAAGTTAAAGTTAGTTAAAAAAAAATTTTAATTTATAATTATTGCGGAAACCGCTTAGAATATTTTATTGAAATTTTACAGGCTTTGACAGTTAACAACAATCCATGTTTTACGATAAAAATATTCAGTTTCATCAGTGACGTGCGCACAGGCACGTCTCTGGATATTTTTAAAGAAAAAAATTATGTGCCACTTCAAACTGAACAGGGAATTAAAAAATAATTTATTTTTATTTTAAGAAAAATCACTGGAGTATGTTTTTCTTTAAAAATATCTAAAGACGTGCCTGTACGCACGCCACTGGTAAAACTGAAAACAATATTTTTATCGTAAAACATGTATTATTGTTAACTACATGCCTGTAAAATTTCATTAAAATATTCTGAGCGGTTTCCGCAATATTTATAAATTTGCATTTTTTTATTAAAACTTTAACACCCTGTAGATCGGAAACTAAGCGTTTTCGGAATATGGNAAATCAGTGGCGTAGCATTTTTTTCTTTAAACATATCCAGAGACGTGACTGTGCACATGCCACTGGTGAAGCTAAATACAATATTTTCATCGTAAAACGTGTATTGTTGTTAACTGTAAAAGCCTGTAAAATTTCATTAAAATATTCTGAGCGGTTTCCGCAATATTTATAAATTTGCATTTTTTTATTAAAACTTTAACACCCTGTAGATCGGAAACTAAGCGTTTTCGGAATATGGTATATTAAGAAAATATATCACAAATCACTTCTACTATAATCTCCTGCAAGGAATGCATCGACTTACCAAACACCCCGTATTAATATTTAATTTAAAATTCGTGTCAGCAAAGAATTTATAGAATAAAATATAAATTATTTCGCCTAAACATCATATTTCATTAGTCATTGGAAAAATTTTGTGTTTAAAGCTGGCCTTTGTTCCAGATATTACGGCGCAGACGACAAAAAACGGAAGCGAAGGGAAGTTAAGAAATTAAGGTAGGTAAAAACTTTCCTTAAGATAAGAAGATATATTGGTAGAACTCTTCATGTTTTATTAAGATTAACTGCCAACTAGGGTAAGTTTATTTGTCTGGTAGCAGTTTGCTACGGAAATTTATATATCCTTGATGTTATTCTATTAATTTGAGCATAGTCTTAACTTGACTGAAACCTGGTTTTCAGCTAACAAATTAAAACTCAATATTTTAAAAACGCAAAACATAACTTTCACCTCTGATAAATGGTGTGCTAAAACGAATTCAGTAAAACTACTTGGTGTTACTCTTTATCCCTGTGTGAAATGGTGTTGCGTTGTGGGGAAACTCCAGTAAGGCTCACAAGGTATTTATTATACAAAAGGCGGTGCTTCGCCTTGTTGCAGCGGTGCCAAACCTTACTCCTAGCAAAGATTTATTAAAAAAATTTGTGATTCTACCACTGCCCTGTTTGTGCTTGTTAGACTCGTTAATATTAGTACACAAAAATTTGTCGAATTTAACTCACTCTGATATACACCAGTACAATACTAGGCATGCCGGAAATCTTATAATTCCTTTTTCTCGAATTGGTATAACCAAGAACAATAAGCTATCTATTAGTCTTTATAATAACTTTGACAATTACTTTAAGCACAAACTTATAAAACAGATGTCATCAAAAGAATTCCACTCATTTGCCAAAAATTATTTATTATCGAATTGTTTCTTATCTGTCGACGATTTTATTTCTTGTACTTATTAGTTAGTTTTATGTATTTTAATGTTATGAAAATGTACCTATGAGTGTATATAAATGGTCAATTAATTAGGTATATTCTATTCTATTATTTGTCGAACATAAAATGCAATTGTCTAAAATATTATTTAAAAAATCATAGCACATTCGATTATATTTTGCAATGAGTGCTTTTGAAGCTTTGTTTGAGATAAAGGTGTCATAAGTATCATTATAGTGATGTGAGGAATAACTTTATTAAGACGAAAAATGGACTATGCGATATCTACATATTTTGAAAGGTCTGAAGAATTTTCAAAGTAAATTTTTTAATATTTAGCCGATTTCGGTGCGGCTTGCACCAATTTTTCTTAGAAAAAGTTTCTGAGAAAATCAAAATCATATTTTGTCTCAACTAAATCAGCTTTCTTAGAAACAGTGATTTACTGTAATATTTTTTTATTTAATTTTTGTCTTTAAAATACCGAATAGTAACTTGACACAATGAAAATTAGTGCAATAGCATTTTGAAGGACCTGTAGAGGGTATGTCCCTCTGGTGAGAAAATAGACATTTTTGATCGGTAAGAATTTATTTTCACTTATGTACGCATGCTATGATATTCTGAAAACTGTGATTATCTAAGTGCGTTACGCTAGAGGAAATTTTATAATATAGGTATTTATAACAAAAAAAAAATACAAAATAATACTTGATGTAGAAGAAATTGCTGTTTCTTAAGATGTAGTCAAGTCCATCTGAAAGCTAGCTAAAAATAAAGAAAATGGAATAAAACAGCAGGAAGCTAGGGTTAGGTCAACCATATGTAACTTTAAGGAACTTGGCTTCCCTCAAATATATTTTCTCATTTCCCGTTGAGAGAAATATCTGCAATCGCATTATTCACTGTGTAGGGAGCTGCAAACATATGTAATAAAAAATATATAGATACGCACAGTTGCAGCATTGATTACCTTATCACGGAAACTGTTTAATTAGAATATATGCTTTATTCATTTTGATATTACAGACATCAGATATCGATTTATTTCTATTTCTGTCTTCATAAAATATTTACTAGTTGATATTTGCTGGATATTGTACAGGTTGTCCAGTAAATAGCCTTTCAAATTTCATAACGAGATTATACGTAAAAGTAAGAAAGATAGTCGATATAAATAATATAGGCCGGAAAATTTTTAATAAAGAAGATCCATCCCTTGAGGGCTCTGATGAGGTTTTTTAATTCAATACCTTCGAAACTTTCAGGAGTAAATAAATTAAATTTTAGAGATCTGTTTTGTCTATTTAATTTGTTGTCAACGCGATGGGTAGACAATAACTCTAAAATTTTCTTTGAAAATATGTCAGAACTGATGGTGCGAAGGTAAAAGATATCCCGACTTTTTTGGGTATTTTTTCCCAAGTTGGAATGATTGTCAAACTTCATCGCATAACGTTCAAAAATTAAAAAAATAGTAATAATCATAGGTATAAATTGCTATACGGGCACTCACGCTTAATTTTGACAAGCAATTTGGATATTTCAATTTATTTTAAGGGTGATAAATCTGTCGAGGACCATGTTACTCGAAAACGGTACGTTTTATCAAAGTTTAACAGAAGGATCTTTCTTTTGTGAAAAAAAAAACATACGAGTTTTTAAATTTTGCTATTTAAACTTGAGAACTACCTACAGAAAATATAGGATAATTTTTAGCTCGCTACACCATTTCCAAATCAAATTTAGAATACTGTTATTACAGGGTGATTCCGGAGGAATGGGAAGTAGATTCAGGGGGTCAAAATAAGAAAAATAAACCCGTAAGTTATATATAGTCCGAATATCAACTGTTGTTGAAATAAATGCAGTAAAAATAATGAATTTATATTGATTTTTATTTTATCAAAGGAAAACTAAAAAAGGAATTTCATAAATGGTGAATAATTAGAATATTTTCAAAAATACCACCACCAACTTCAATGCCCTTGCTTCCTCTTCAATTGACGTTGGGAATAGCACGATTAATAGCATCGCGATTATTTCTTATTATTATTATTACAGCGCCCGCATTCATAATAATGCAATCAAGTAATGCTTGCCTTCTCTACTCTTGTTTCGTACACCAACGATTTCATCCACCCCCAAACAAAGTATTCGAGTGGGTCTAGGTCTAAACACCTTGCTGGCCAATTTATTGGACCCCCTCCACAAATCCAGTGTCCAGGAAAATGATTGTTTAAAAAATTTCGTACCCTCAGAGTAAAGTCAGAAGGGGCCCCATATGTTGGAAGTATCCTCAATTGCGCATGCGTTTTTTGCACGGTTATACAGGGTGTTCCAGATACACCTTCAATTAGACGTTTCTGGAAAACTACGCGTACTGGAATTATGAAAATTTATGTACGGGGGTTCCTCCTAATGTTCCATCGATTGAAAATATTGGCGTCGCCGTGGAACTTTCGGTTCTACCGGAAGTAGACGTCAACGCGCTTATTTCAAATGGAATGTACTATTTTTTATTTAATTTTTGGATTCTACATCGAATTTTAAGGTAAGTTTCATAACCTTACTTTATCCTTAAACTCAATAGTTTTTGAAATATTTTGACTTTTTCAAAATTTTTGAAAAAAACATACCTACACTTAATCGGTTCTATCTCCTCCAATTTTTAAGATAGGAAGCTGAAATTTTAGATGGTCAATACCAAAACGTGTCCAAATATCTGGAATATTCGAAAGTTGGTGCATGTTACACAGGGCGTCTAAAAAACACGGACCAATTGTGTCAAATTGAAAGTTTAATAACTCGCTTATTTTAAATAGAACACCCTGTGTTTTATAATGCCAGTAGATGCACCTGTTAATTCTCTTTCCATTGGTATAAGCATTCCCTATACCTAAATCCCACCGATTTTGAGATATTTGAACATAAGTACAGAGACGAATATAATCCGACAGTTAGCTGTAGGTTGGCTGTGGAAAAACATTTAAATGTCACCAAGTGTCATTACTTATTTAGCAGATTTGCTGTCATTGCTGTAAAGCGAGTTTGTCGATTTTCCAAGTGTTTTCAATAACAATGGCACACTCTGGGTACACACACGACGACTTTTTAAATTTAATTATCATTTACGGGGAGTGTAATAGAATTGTTAGTAGAACATGTCGCGTGTTTGCAGAAAGATATCCAAATAAGCACAGACCAAGTCATGATATGGTCAGAAGACTATTAAAGAATTGTTCTGAGAATGGAAAGTTTCTCCCGAAACATGATAAAGGTAAGACATCAGTGGACAACGAAGAAAATGAAGTAAATGTATTGGCATTTTTCACCGCTTATCCACAGGCGTCAATTAGAGATGCATAATAAATTCACGTCTATCAATAGGAACTATTCACAGAATTCTGAAGAAGCATAAATGGAAGCCATTTTCATTTATGTTAATACACCATTTGCAACCTGACGATTTACCCCGACGTGTAGTCGTCGTGTGTGTACCCAGAGTGTGCCATTGTTATTGAAAACACTTGGAAAATCGACAAACTCGCTTTACAGCAATGACAGCAAATCTGCTAAATAAGTAATGACACTTGGTGACATTTAAATGTTTTTCCACAGCCAACCTACAGCTAACTGTCGGATTATATTCGTCTCTGTACTTATGTTCAAATATCTCAAAATCGGTGGGATTTAGGTATAGGGAATGCTTATACCAATGGAAAGAGAATTAACAGGTGCATCTACTGGCATTATAAAACACAGGGTGTTCTATTTAAAATAAGCGAGTTATTAAACTTTCAATTTGACACAATTGGTCCGTGTTTTTTAGACGCCCTGTGTAACATGCACCAACTTTCGAATATTCCAGATATTTGGACACGTTTTGGTATTGACCATCTAAAATTTCAGCTTCCTATCTTAAAAATTGGAGGAGATAGAACCGATTAAGTGTAAGTATGTTTTTTCAAAAATTTTGAAAGTCAAAATATTTCAAAAACGATTGAGTTTAAGGATAAAGTAAGGTTATGAAACTTACCTTAAAATTCGATGTAGAATCCAAAAATTAAATAAAAAATAGTATATTCCATTTGAAATAAGCGAGTTGACGTCTACTTCCGGTAGAACCGGAAGTTCCGCGACGACGCTAATATTTTCAATCGATAGAACATTAGGAGAAACCCTCGTACATAAATTTTCAGAATTCCAGTACGCGTAGTTTTCCAGAAACGTCTAATTGAAGGTCTATCTGGAACACCCTGTATGTGATTTATTTGTTAAA